TCATCTAGTATTTCGATTACATTTTCATTTTTTACCGGAAATGGGGTTATTTCCTTATTCTTTATCATATCAAAAAAATGCTGTCGCATTTCAAGCGAATCTATAGAGTAATCTTGAGTACATAGATCCTCTTTTAAACATAAGGACATTGCAAATGCTCCTGCATAAACTCCACAACTTGTACCATCTATTTGGTGAGTAACTTGTAGTGGTATGACTTTGTCAGGAGTTAGATTTGGGTAGCGTCGATTGATGTATACTTGTTCTTGTTTGGTGAGTTTTTCATACGTTGGCATGTATAAACTGTCGTAAATGTATAAAACTCTATCGAAGAAATAATAGCAGCGCCAATGAACGGAAGAATTTCCACCAACTATTTGCACGTCAATATTGTTTAAACATGGTTTTATGAATTTTGAATTGGTAAGATAGTGCACACTTAAAAATTCAAATTCTGGGTAGTACATTTGTAATACTCTCAGAAATGAATCAATGCAGTCATCATCCAAATATACTTCAACGGTGAGTATTATTTTCTTTAAATCTTGAAGAGAATGCTCCATATTTATTAAAAGATGAAACACATCTTCTTCTGATGGTACTAAAATGTTATTCTTTTTAATGATGGTTGGGAAGGATTTGCTGCTGGACTCGTTTTTGAAGTACTTTCGATATTTGCTTTTTCCTTTTCAGCTTCAATACATTTCTGAAGAATAGCATTAAACTTTTTCTCTTTTTTCTCCTTTTGGATAGCTATATAAGGTTCTCTTGCATCTAGAACGAACTGAGGTTCGCGAGGGTTAAATCCTCTCAGGTGTCTACTATCGATGATTTCAGGAAGAAGGCAATGTAAATAAAACTCTGTTAATTTATTTACCTTTTCATCCCAAAATTTGTCATCGCGTAAAATTACCTTCATCTCCATATCACACAATGTCCAAATGACAAAAATGCAATATTTTCGCCTTGTACAGTGCAGTTGTCCCTGAATTTGATAGTAATATTCATGTAAAGTTTTTAGAAACTTCATATCCTTACGAAACCATTTTTTGATAGTATCAATCTTTTCTTTTGCTTCTTGAATTTTCATATTCTTGGCAGAGTATGGGCATTTTATTTCGACAATACCACCTGCAACTACTTCATACGAAAATTCGTTACATTTTCTGTTCATAATTGCATTCAAAGGAATATTTATATCACATAATTCCTCTGCAATTAATCCATCTGGAGAGCATCCTAAAAATTTTATCTCTGGATCTATGAAGAATCCACTATTTTCAATTTTAATACCTAATTTCTTTGCCAACTGCTGTATGGCATCTTCTTCGTGGTATTTTCCATATTCCATTGCATCCGTTACAACTTTGTTAAACAATATTGCCTTTACTAATTTTCCAGTCAACGTAGTTTTCTGCCTACTGCAAACACGACCAAAGTTTGAAGCTGTAAGCATTTTACGACGTATTCTCTTCCACTCACTTGATTCCGACTGGTTTTTTGTTCTTTCTGCAACTGCATCTCTCTCAATTTGATATTTTTCCAATTCATTCATTAGCGCATCTTTTTCTTTTGCAAATAATTCTTCTGATATATCAGGTTGATTTGAATTTTGTCCATAATCTTTATCCTTGTTTTTCCTGAAGAACCTTTTGGTTCTTCTCTTTTCTTGAGCATACTTTTTATTGTTTTCAATCTTCAATTTTCGCCGATTTTCCATTATTTCTGCAACTTGAGGTACTTCTTTGTCAATACCTTCAAACACAGTTGTTAAAACTTGTTTTGTTGAAAACTGCATTGCAGCGGCATGACAACGTACAGTGTAGCTTTCTTTTGCAGTGTAGTTAATTCTCTTGCCAGAAACAACTTTACAAAGATTGTTATTGGCAGATTCAACAACATTTGTTGTAACTTTGTACAACAAACTTCCTGTGTGACGTCCCAACAAGCGTAATCCTGATACAATTTCTGCATAAGCATGACTTTTACTTAATACAGGAATCAAATTCTCCTCTCCTAATAAATTTCTACCCTTACAAGGCCAATTCAGTCTTGCACAGTTTGCATGTTGACCAAAGCAATGGCTTACTACATTCTGTATATCCTCATACAACAAGTCAATTTTTTGATTGAATGTTAAAGTTTCATCCTCTCTGCGTCTATCAATTGCTGAAATGATTTCAATTCGTAACTTTAATTTCTTGCTTCCTAAGAGTCTTCGGGCCACTGAATTTCCGGGATTTTTATCTTCATCTTGAGCTTTTACTGATGTAACATGTTCGATAAGGTTACAAAAATTTCTAAATTTATGATTGGTGCACTCCAATTTTTTTACCACAACATTATGTTTTTCGTAAGGATCATGATTTGCAAGTAATACATCTGTACTACTGTCTCCATCACCAATTCTATATTTATAAATTAATCCATATTTGTCTTCACTTGTCGTGAAACCTTCGACAACCATTTCAGCTTCCATACTTGAAGAACTTTTACTTTCATCGTAGTTAGAAAAGCTTTTATGTTCTTTGGGTTCTCGTTCATCCTTCATTGCTCGTTGACACGTTGCACAAGGGACATTCCTTATAATGCAATCTATTATTTTGTTTGTTTCATAACCAATTATCAAAACACATCCTCCTAAGGCATCATATGCCGATGTGCGGTAACTTCTTTTGCACCATGCACAATCGACCACAACCGTTATGTATGGTACTCCATTAATTACATGTCCTTTTGCAATTGCCATTTCTGCTTCTTTCTGAGCTGCAGCTTTCATTACATTCTTATTAATATCTATCAAATGCATTCCTATTTCAAATCGATTTTTTATATATGTTACGGTCATTGTCAATTATTGGGCATTGTCGACAATGCCCGGGCACAATCGACAATGCCCACAGTCACTGGACATTGCCCGGGTATTTTTAACAAAATTTAGTAAAATGTGACAGTGACCGGGCATAGTCAGCAATGCCCGGGCAATGTTGTCATTGCCCACTTACTTTTGGGCAATGTTATTTACGATTAAAAAAAGACGATTTAATTAGAGAAATGCTTTATTTATTTATTTATTTTTGCAGGAAAGGCTGCTGTGACATTTTGATGTGCACTTTTTTTTATTTTTAAAACATTTACACTTATTTTGTGCACATCCTGTCTTGCAGGCGCATCTTTCATACCCCTGAGCACCAAAAACACTGTTTTTGGAAGCAGCTTCTCTCAGAGATATTTCTCTTGACAAAACATCTTCAACCATAATAAGGTTTGCGTCGCATTTATAAAATTCGCTTCGCACGTATTTCTTATTTAGAGTTCCGTTCTCGTTTCCTGAAAAATAATATTTGATTAAAGAGTAATAATGATAGAGTTACAACACGAAATTTGTAAGCCACAAAAGACACCTACCCAGAGTGTAATAATCATTGTCAATGTTAATAATTGCTGCTAAAACGTTTCGTGGTGCACCCCTAGCCCTGTCCACATCAGGAATTGGTATTTTAACCGTAGACCCAATGGAAACAGTCGTTAGGTTTTGAGCAGATAACTTCAACATTTTCCTTGCTTGCCTTCCCAAGCACTCTCTTGCATTTTCCCTGTTTTCCGAAATGGTTCGAAGTCGTTTTTTTATTGGAGTCTCTGAAATTATAATTAATTTAAAGAAATATGTTATTTAATATTAAATATTAATAAATTAATTTTATTTCTGCCTCCATGTCCAATCGAAGAATGTGTGTTCCAAAGAACTTCAAATAAATCTTCATTTTTAATATAATAAATAATTTTGTCATTACCACTATTTATAGGTTTCATTAATTTCTGTTGATCATTTACAGAAATTATGTCAAAGCGTCGTAAAAACCTACATTCATTTGATGTCTTCTTTTCTTTTACTTTTAAACTTTCCACTTTTTTAACACACTCTTTATATTCAACGGAAGAAATAAATGCACTATTATCGTTGCGTTTTTTAGAAATTAATTCATTTAAAATTTCATTAAACCGTATTTGATTGGAAATATCCATGATAATCAATATTAAATTCGCGACGATAATTAACGACAGATAGTTTCAAACTAATCGAAATTATTTGTCTTTATACTACAGAGAGTAAGAAGCTGTCGAAATTTGATTGCAGTACAATAGATGTAAATTTTGTATACGTTATTGTTGTGTGATTAGCTTTGTATATATTATGACGTATGAAGCTATTATATAAAATTTTCGACATTGCCCAAGTTGGACCGGGCAATGTCGACATTGCCCGGAAAGTTAAACGATATGAATATTTTTAGACATTGACCGGGCAATGTCGACAATGCCCAGTGGCCGTGGGCATTGTCGACATTGCCCGGGCATTGTCGACAATGTCCAGTGCCTGTGGGCATTGTCGACATTGCCCGGGCATTGTCGACAATGCCCAATAATCGACAATGACCGTAACATATACATTGCAGGACTCATGTAATGCACATTTATAGCTGCGAGTGCTTCTTCTATTGTAGAATAACCAATTCCTGCTGTAATAGTGCCAAGAGCAGAACCCAAATTAATATCTAAATAATCGTCACTTTTAGGTTCTGACCAAATTGGCACAAGTGCTCCACACTCATTACACTGTAGACTGTACTTGGTTTTTAATCCTTTTCTATAACGAGATACGATTTTCCACACTTTGTTTTGACAACCTTTTTTATGGTTGTTTTCCTCTACAACTTTCTTAAGAGTCTCGTTTATAACGTAGCTCATCTTTGAAATTTCCCTTTCCTCTGTCTTGAATTCGTCTAAGATTTTGACATTTTTAAATTTATTAACTTTATTACAATTTTTAATACATTTCTGACCACTCTCCATTTTCGTAATCAAATCTTTCGTGGTATCTGTTTCCGTTTGAATATTTCTTTTATCTGCTACCACTTTTTCATTTATTTCTTCTATTATTATTTCTTCTATCTCTTCAAATTCCTCCACTTTCAATAATGTCTGTGTTTGTTCCGCTGCATGCTCTGCAAATTCACTGTTTTCTCCTTCTTTTTCCTTATCATCTTCATATTTTTCTCTTGCTTCAACTGCAAGTTCCTGTTTTTCTATTTCCTCTTCATATTCCTCTTCTTCTACTACGATCTCAATTTCTTCTAAAATATCTTCAATTTCTTCCTCGTTCTCGTTGACATAAGCGCAATATTTATCCTCCTTTTTTTCTTCTTCCCTGGACACTTCTGGCTAAAACACAATTTCATTAAAACTACCTACTTGGATGTCTTCTTTTCCATTACTGGTGCTGTCTAATGGAGAGAACGTACTTTCATTCATATCCATGTTTTCCATCTCCATGAGTTGTCCTTCAATATCTTTGTCCGCCATACTTGCAGAAATAGCCAATTTTTCCTCTTTTTGACGTTGACGCCTGCAAAAAAAGTTTCAAATTAACAAAATCTTTAAAACTCTCATTCTTTAATATTAAGAATATTTTATGAACTTACGAAATTTTGAATGTTAAAAAATAAAAACCTTTCTCCGTACCTTAGGTATAAGTTTTGAAATTAATAACATGAAACAAATTATCAAAAAATGAAAATTTTACATAATCCTCAACTATTAAATAAATGAAAAAAATTCGTCTCCTAAAGACTCTTTATCAGAAATTCAAATTTTAAGCAAAATAAAATACTTAGACTAAATTAAATTTTTCAAAATTGGAAAATTTTAGTGTTTTTCGGCACGATCTAAGTTATCGAAAATATACAGAATAATTAGTTAGTTAAATAAATTATTTGCCTTGGTATGGGCCGAAAAGACAAATTTGATTCTTAAAAACCGGAATTTTAAAATTGAAAGTAAAATTTTAACAGCAAAAAGAAGATTATTCAAATTTAGAAAATTTCAGTTTTTTCTTCGTTTTTTAAATTGCAAAAATATTAGGAATAATTTGTTGACAAAATAAATTATGTGCCCTGCTTTGGGTTGAAAAGACAAATTTGGTTCTTCTAAATTACAATTTTAAAATTAAAAGCAAAACTTTGGCAGCATGAAGTAGATTTATCAAATTTGGAAGTTTTCAGTTCTTTTTGTTTCTGTCCAAGTAGTAAAAAATATACGGAACAATTTCTAGGCGAAATAAATTATTTGCCTTGGTTTGGGTAGCAGAGATAAATCTCTTTCTAAAAAAACAAAAATTTTAAAATCGAAAGAAAAATATTGGCCGCAAAAAGTAGATTTTTCAAATTTGGATATTTTCAGTTTTTTTCGTTAGTGTCCAAATTGTAAAAAATATACGGAATAATTTCTGGGACAAATAAATTATTTGCCCTGGTTTGGGTAGCAGAAACAAATCTTTTTCTGCAATAACTAAAATTTTAAAATCGAATGAAAAATTTTGGCAGCAAAAAGTAGATTTTTCAAACTTAGAAATTTTCATATATTTTTGTTTCTGTCCAAGTAGTAAAAAACATACAGAATAATTTCTTGGCGAAACAAATTATTTGCCTTGGTTTGGGTAGCAGAGACTTATTTCTTTCTGCAAAAACTAAAATTTTAAATTTGAAAGAAAAATTTTGTCAGCAAAAAGTAGATTTTTCAAATTTAGAAATCAGTTTTTTTTGTTTCTGTCCAAGTAGTAAAGAATATACGGAATAGATTCTAGGCGAAATAAATTAGTTGGGTACCAGAAGTTGGGTACCAGAAACAACTCTCTTTGTGGAAAAACTAAAATTTTAAATTCGAAAGAAAAATTTTGGCAGCAAAAGTAGATTTTTCAAATTTGGAAATTTACAGTTTTTTTCGTTAGTGTCCAAGTTGTGAAAATATTAGGAATAATTTATTGGCGATACAATTTGTCTGCCTTGGTTTGGTTAGCAGAGACAAATCTTTTTCTAAAAAAATCAAAATTTTAAAATCGAAAGAAACATTTTGTCAGCAAAAAGTAGATTTTTCAAATTTGGAAATTTTTAGTTTCTTTTGTTTCTGTCCAAATAGTAAAAAATGTGCAGAATAATTTCTAGGCCAAACAAATTATTTGCCTTGGTTTGGGTAGCAGAGACTTATTTCTTTCTGCAAAAACTAAAATTTTAAATTTGAAAGAAAAATTTTGGCAGATAAAGTAGACATATCAAATTTGGAAATTTTCAGCTTTTTTTGTATCTGTCCAAGTAGTAAAAAATATACGGAACAATTTCTAGGCGAAATAAATTATTTCCCCTGGTTTGGGTACCCGAAACAAATCTCTTTCTGGAAAAACTAAAATTTTAAATTCGAAAGAAAAATTTTGGCAGCAAAAAGCAGATTATTCAAATTTAGAAATTTTCAGTTTTTTTTGTTAGTGTCCAAGTTTTGAAAATATTAGGAATAATTTATTGGCGAAACAAATTGTCTGCCTTGGTTTGGCTAGCAGAGACAAATCTCTTTATAAAAAAAATTAAAATTTTAAAATCGAAACAAAAATTTTTTCAGCAAAATGTAGGTTTTTCATTTTGGAAATTTTCAGTTTTTTTTGTTATTGTCCAAGTTGTAAAAAATATACGGAATAATTTCTGGGCCAAATAAATTATTTTCCCTGGTTGGGTAGCAGAAACAAATCTCTTTCTAAAAAAACAAAAATTTTAAATTAGAAAGAAAAATTTTGCAGCGAAAAGTAGATTTTTCAAATTTAAAAATTTTCAGTTTTTTTGTTTCTGGGCAAGTAGTAAAAAATATGGGATAATTTCTTGGCGAAACAAATTATTTGCCTTGGTTTGGGTAGCAGAGACAAATCTCTTTATGCAAAAATTAAAATTTAAAATTCGAAAGAAAAATTTTGTCAACGAAAAATAGAATTTTCAAATCTAGAAATTTTCAGTTTTTTTGTTTCTGTCCAAGTAGTAAAAAATATACGGAACAATTTCTAGGCGAAATAAATTATTTGCCTTGGTTTGGCTAGCAGAGATAAATCTCTTTCTAAAAAAATCAAAATTTTAAAATCAAAAGAAAAATTTTGGCAACAAAAAGTAAATTTTTCAAATTTGTGAATTTTAAGTTTTTTTCGTTAGGGTCCAAGTTGTGAAAAATATACGGAATAATTTCTTGGCGAAATAAATTATTTGCCCTGGCTTGGGTAGCAGAGACAAATTTCTTTCCACAAAAACTAAAATTATAAAATCGAAAGAAAAATTTTGGCAGCAAAAAGTATATTTTTCAAGTTTAGAAATTTTCAGTTTTTTTTTCTTTAGTATCCAAGTTGAAAAAAATATACGGAATAATTTCTGGGCCAAATAAATTATTTGCCCTGGATTTGGGTAGCAGAAACAATTCTCTTTCTAAAAAGATCAAAATTTTAAAATCGAAAGAAAAATTTTGGCAACAAAAAGTAAATTTTTCAAATTTAGAAATTTTCAGTTTTTTTTTTGTTAGTGTCCAAGTTGTGAAAATATTAGGAATAATTTCTTGGCGAAATAAATTATTTGCCCTGGTTTGGGTAGCAGAATCACATCTCTTTCTGCAGAAAATAAAATTTTAAAATCGAAAGAAAAATTTTGGCAGCAAAAAGCAGATTTTTCAAATTTGGAAATTTTCAGTTTTTTTTGTTTCTGGGCAAGTAGTAAAAAATATGGGATAATTTCTTGGCGAAACAAATTATTTGCCTTGGTTTGGGTAGTAAAGACAAATCTCTTTCTAAAAAAATCAAAATTTTAAAATCGAAAGAAAGATTTTGGCAGCAAAAAGTAGATTCTTTAAATTCAGGAATTTTCAGTTTCTTTTGTTTCTGTCCAAGTAGTAAAAAATAAACGGAATAATTTCTTGGCGAAATAAATTATTTGCCCTGGTTTGGGTAGTAAAGACAAATTTCTTTCTACAAAAACTAAAATTTTAAATTCGAAAGAAAAATTTTGGCAGCGAAAAGTAGATTTTTGAAATTTAGAAATCTTCAGTTTTTTTGTTAGTGTCTAAGTTGTGAAAATATTAGGAATAATTTCTTGGCGAAACAAATTATTTGCCTTGGTTTGGGTAGCAGAGACAAACCTCTTTCTACAAAAACAAGAATTTTAAAATAAAAAGAAAAATTTTGGCAGCAAAAAGTAGATTTTTCAAATTTAGAAATTTTCAATACTTTTAGCTAGTGTCCAAGTTGTAAAAAATATACGGAATAATTTATTGGCGAAACAAATTATTAGCCTTGGTTTGGGTCGGAAAGACAAATCTATTTCTCAAAAAAGTGGAATTTTAGAATTGAAAGCAAAATTATAACAGAAAAAAGTAGATTCTTCCAATTTGGAAATTTTCAGTTTTTTTCGTTAGTGTCCAAGTTGTAAAAAATATTAGGAATAATTTCTTGGCGAAACAAATTATTTGCTTTTGTTTGGGTAGCAAAGGCAAATCTCTTTTTACATAGACTAAAATTTTAAAATCGAAAGAATAATTTTGGCAGCAAATAGTAGGTTTCTCAAATTTGGAAATTTTCAGTTTTTTTTTGTTTCTGTCCAAGTTGTAAAAAATATACGGAATAATTTCCTGGCGATATAAATTTTTATTTGCCTTGGATTGGCTAGCAGAGACAAATCTCTTTCTAAAAAAATCAAAATTTCAAATTCGAAAGAAAAATATTGTCAACGAAAAATAGAATTTTCAAATCTAGAAATTTTCAGTTTTTTTTGTTTCTGTCCAAGTAGTAAAAAATATACGGAACAATTTCTAGGCGAAATAAATTATTGGCCTTGGTTTGGGTAGCAGAGATAAATCTCTTTCTAAAAAAACAAAAATTTGAAAATCGAAAGAAAAATATTGGCCGCAAAATGTAGATTTTTCAAATTTGGATATTTTCACTTTTTTTCGTTAGTGTCCAAATTGTAAAAAATATACGGAATAATTTCTGGGCGAAATAAATTATTTGCCCTGGTTTGGGTATCAGAAACAAATCTCTTTCTACAAAAACTAAAATTTTAAAACCGAAAGAATAATTTTGGCAGCAAAAAGTAGATTTTTCATTTTGTAAATTTTCAGTTTTTTTCGTTATTGTCCAAGTTGAAAAAAATATACGGAATAATTTCTTTGCAAAATAAATTATTTGTCCTGGTTTGGGTAGCAGAGACAAATCTCTTTCTAAAAAAAACTAAATTTTAAAATCGAAAGAAACATTTTGGCAGCAAAAAGTAGATTATTCAAATTTGGAAATGTACAGTATTTTTCGTTGGTGTCCAAGTTGTAAAAAATAAACGGAATAATTTCTGGGCCAAATGAATTATTTGCCTTGGTTTGGGTAGCAGCAACAAATTTCTTTCTACAAAAACTAAAATTTTAAAACCGAAAGAAAAATTTTGGCAGCAAAAAGTAGATTTTTCAAACTTAGAAATTTTCATTTATTTTTGTTTCTGTCCAAGTAGTAAAAAATATACGGAATAATTTCTTGGCGAAATAAATTATTTGCCCTGGTTTGGGTAGCAGAGACGAATTTCTTTCTGCAAAAATTAAAATTTTAAATTCGAAAGAAAAATTTTGGCAGCGAAAAGTAGATTTTTGAAATTTAGAAATCTTCAGTTTTTTTGTTAGTGTCTAAGTTTTGAAAATATTAGGAATAATTTCTTGGCGAAACAAATTATTTGCCTTGGTTTGGGTAGCAGAGACAAATCTCTTTCTGCAAAAACTAAAATTTTAAAATCGAAAGAAAAATTTTGGCAGCATGAAGTATTTTTTTCAAATTTGGAAATTTTCAGTTTTTTTCGTTGGTGTTCAAGTTGTAAAAGATATAAGGAATAATTTCTTGGCGAAACAAATTATTTGCCTTGGTTTGGGTAGCAGAGACAAATCTCTTTCTAAAAAACTAAAATTTTAAAATAGAAAGAAAAATTTTGACAGCATAAATTAGATTTTTAAGAAATGGCCATTTTTAGGTTATCTCGTCGGTGTCTAAGTTTTGAAATATATTCCGAATAATTGGTTGCCAATATGAATTATATTTCTCGTTTTTGCACGTTGAGACAAATCATTTTCCCGAAAATTGGAATTTTAGAATAAAATGAAGAAATTAAAAACAGAAACTAATTTGTTGCAGAAAGAACTTTTTTCTTGATTTTCCTCGCTGAGACAAAACTGAGAAAGTAGAAATTTAAATTGGAAAGAAAGAAATTGAAAAACAAAAATTAGATTTTTCAAAAATTGACAATTACTGGCTTTTTCGTCTAATTATGTAACTAAAATGTAATAAAATTCATTGCATAAATTCAATTATTTTTACAAGTAATAACATTTTTCACACGATTTCAATTATTTAAAAAAAATTGATAAAATTCGTTGTAAGAATTCCATTATTTTCATAAAAATTTTCAATTATTTATAAGATACAATTTAAAGTAAATTCCTAGAAAAATGGAATTATTCTCTTAATTTTCTTCTAAGAATTTAATTACATTTCACGAATATAATTAAATTCTTCGTTGAAATTCAAATATTTTCACAATCTACTTTTTTAATAAAAGATCTCAAAAGAATTCAATTATTGAAAAAAATGTAATAAAATTCGATGCAGGAATTCAATAATTTTCATAAACAATAAGATTCTTTAAAAAAAAATTCAAAAAAAGATTCCTTACATTATTTCAATTATTTAAAAAAAAATTTGAAAAAATTCATTGCAAGAATTCAATTTCTTTCATAAATTAATAAAATTCTTTACAGGATTTCAATTATTTTTAATACAATTTAAAGTAAATTCTTCGAAAAATGTCAGTATTTTCAAAAATTTTGCTAAAATTCTTCGAAATAATTAAATTATGTATTTTATCAATTATGTATTTTCAAAAATTCATGCAATAATGCTTTTAATATTCAATTATGATCTAAAATTTTAACTAATATTCATTTTCAAATCAATTTTTATTGGAAAATTCTACAAGAATTCAATTATTTCAATACAAAAATTAATAATTCATTGAATGAATGAATGTTTTTCGAAACTAAATTATCATAAAGAATTTTATCAATAAATTTGAATTTTATCGAGAAATTTTAATAAAATTTTCAAGAAATTAAATTTTTCGAGGAATTCAATTAAACTTGTATTAAAAAAAATTGAAATTCTATGATGAATTTTATTATTCATGAAAATAATTGAATTATTGCGAAGTTTGCTTAGAATTTTATCAAAATTTTTTTTTTAATAATTGAATTATTTTGAAAAATTTTATTAAAACTGTAGATATTGAAAATCATTGAATTGAGTATATTTTTTTGCAAATAATTGAAATTTTGGAAAAAATTTTATTAAATTTTTGGAAAATAATTGAAATTTGGAGAAGAATTTTATTATTTTTAAAGATAATTGAATTTTTATGAGAATTTTTTTTTAATTATTGAACATAATTGAATTTTTGCTAAGAATTTTTTTACTTTTGATAATAATTGAATTTCTGCAATCATTTGTAACTTCTTCAAAATTCAAAATGTTATTACTTTCTTTCGCCGAGAAAAATATTTTATTTATTAAAACGAAATTTAAAAAGTAATTAAATTTATTTACCTTGCTCTAGCTGCTTTTGTCTTTGACAATCTTATTCCACTGGTCTTGTATTTGCCACTCTTCCTTTTGTATGATGCATTCAACACTTCACTTTTTTTCTCCAGTTCTTTGATTTTTTCCGCCACTCCTTCATTTGATTTCTCCATTGTCATTCGAAGATTTTTACCTTATTAAAAACACTAAACTACTGATTGTATCTCCTGTCCTGTCGTTACTATAAAAATTTTACTATTTACGAAAATAGTAAAATAAAAACTGTTTAAAATAAATCAAACACAAGCCGACTTTAAATCGCTGAATATAAAACGGTAACACTTCCAAAAATATTAGATGCACGACCGTAAGATAAATACGTATACTATTTTTGCTGTCTGAATTCGTTTCAACGCATGAACAATCAAAACAAATCCGAGCCGTCTTTCTGTGTTTACACTTCGTGTATCGTTTCTTTTATTTCCTGTCTCACTCTCCCCCTCTCTCTCTCTTTCTTTTGACTCGTTTTAACGTGACAAGCGGCACGCGCCGCCACTAATTCTAATACACCTGTGTCACCTGTGTCTATGCGATACTTTTCGGTTAAAAACTATATTATTCAAATTTTGCACGGCGGCGCTACTGTGAAATCTACTGCCTCTAGATAGGTAAGAGATTACCATCTCTCTTGCATTGCGTGTTCTTTTGTGAATAGGAAGCGTGCCTCTTCTCATTGTCAGGGAATTCGATTCACATTCTTCAATAAACTAGGTAAGTAAATTAGCATATTTTGTTTTATTGTAATAAAAATAAAGTTAATTACATTAGATTAGATATTATATTAGATATATTATATATTTATTTTATTAGATATATATTATTAACTGATTAAATAAAGTGGCATAGGAAACCGTGGGGGGGCAAGGGGCGCAGTTTCCCTTAGTTATATACATAAACATAGTTAAATATATCTATATATTTAGCGTTGCCCTCCGGAAAAGAATTCGTTCCTACGCGGCTAATTAAATTCAGTGAAATTACACAATTATTTATCGAAATTTGTTTATTATAGAATCGTGAGTAGATAAACAAAGTGAGTACCGGGACACATGTTCGCGAGGCCGCCGCTAGAGGCGCCACTAGCGCTGCAGTCGGTAAATGGCGCGCATTTCAAATTTGTACATTATAGTTCGTGCGACAGCCACCAACGCTGTGTCGGTTACCAACCCACAGTCAGTATTGCAGATTCCATCATTAACAGTTGATTGAAATGCAGATTCCTACCCTACATTTTAATTCAACCGTCAGAGTAGGGAACTGTTTTTTCGACATGTTTCGACCCTCATCTGTGTTATATTTTATACATGTGTTAGTGCAATTTGTGATGTGTGAATCTGTATATTGGGTATATGTACACACGACAAAGAAATTTACCTGGAACAACCATAAATTTCACTATATTAACGAAAGTTTTAGTTATTTCAGTTAAGACTTTCACCTTATTGCAGTTCCAGTTAAAATTTTATTTCCGTGTACAACACCTGAAATAGATTTCAGATATTCACACCTGTCTCTTTTTAATTCATTATTAATTCATTAATGATTTGTCTTATCTATCCAAATATTTTATTTTAACGAGTCTTGAAAATTTTTTTCTTCAAGACAAGTACATATCAGGATATTTTACTTTAAGAGCTTTCTTATTATATAATCATTATAAAATATACATTACAATTAAATGTAAGTAGTTTTTTATCAGTTGATATTAATTCATTGTTGAATCATAGTTGATGCATTAATGACTCATTGTTGATTCGTTAATGATTCATCGGTGATTAATTAATGATTTATTATTGATTCATTAATGGTTTACGGTTAAATAATTCTTTAAAGATTCATTATTGATTAATTTCTTATTAATTTTTTGAATAATAATAATTTATTAGTTAATGATTTGTCTTGTCTATATAAATACACAGAGAAAAATTAATAGTCAAAATTACACTGAGAGAAGTTTAGCACAGCATCTGAACTCAGATACAGCAGCCGCGCGAAATGAGGGTTAGATATTGTTCCCTGATTTTATTCAGACGCTGAGATAAAATAGAACAGCATATGTGCTAAAACTTTCGTATATGTGTTAAAAGTTTAGTTTCTGTAATTCTGTACACCAGAACGAGAAGTCTTTAAAACCGTGGGACCAATGTTGCGCGGAAGGTTAGGTACAGAATCTGAAACATGCGCAATGCAGAATCTGAGCTAAACTTCCCTCAGATACACCAGATCATGGACGAATATACGTTGAAAGACTTTTCATTTCAAAAAGGGTAAAATGATGTTTTTATGTTACTTAATCGTATGAACGTATCCACTATTAATACAGTTCAAACTAATAAGTGGGTCTCTACTAAACGAAAAATAATATATTTTTCTCATCTAAAATTGCGCGAAATTGTAGTAGAGGTGGGGGGGGGGTGAATCTCAAAAAAACTACATGACATCATTTGGGAACGCTTCCTAACCAATTGACAAATATTTCAGTTCATTATTGGTTCATTAATGAGTCATTGTTAATTCATTGTTGATTCCTTAATGATTCATACTTGATTTATTTATGATCCATTGATGATTCATTAATGTCTCATTGTTAATAAATTAATGATTGATAGTTGATTTATTTATAATTCATTATTGATTCATTGTTAATTCATAGTTGATTCACTAATGACACATTGTTGATTCATTAATGATTCATAGCTGATTTTTTATGATTCATTAATGACTCATTGTTAATTAATTGTTGATTTATTAATGACTTATAGTTGATTTATTTATAATTAATTGTTGATTCATTAATTATTCATAGTTGATTTATTAATGGTTCATAGTTGATTTTTTATGATTCATTCTTGATTCATTAATGATTCATTGTTGATTCATTAATGACTAATTGTTGATTTATTAATGCTTTAGTGTTGATTTATTAATTATTTACTGTTTTTTCATTAATGATCTGTCTTAAATATCCAACTATTATTGAAAATGAATGATGAAATGTTAATAGTAGTGAATAAACTCCATACATTAGGTTGAAAAACTTATCGATGTCGAGTAAAAATGCTTGGTATTGTAGATTTAGTAGATTTTAGTAGATTTAGTAGAAATGATATCTTATTTTAAAATAAATAGATATTTTTTTCAAATATTTTTGGGCTGTTCCTGTAGAGAATAAAAATGGAAAAGATGTTGCTGATGCAATGTAATATTTAGTAAATAAATGTATTCCAAAATACCTGCATTCAGATAATGAAAAGAAAATAATTTTACAATTAACAATTTGAATCAGAAACGAAAATGAATAAAATTACTTTTAATCAACATGCAGGAATCTAAAAAATGTCAGTTGTTGAACGATTTAATAGAACACTTAAGAGTGAAGGTGTAAATTTAGAAGTTGTTGACACATTAAAAGTACGTTTTTTAAAATTAAAAAAAGTACCGCAGTGAATACCAAAGTTAAAAAAATCATGATAAAGTACGAGTCATCAAATAAAACATTAACTAAAACATTCACCATCGGGGTCGTCCATAAATTAATTAAAACATTTATGGGGGAGGGTCTACACGGAAAAAAAGTACGTGAATCCTTCCTTGAAAGTGCTTGACTTTTGGATAGGACACAAAATACAAGGCTGTATCATATACTTTTTATTAGAAAATATAGAAAAGTCCTAGAGTTATTCTAGTACTAGTATGGGCAACAGTGTTTTTTAAATTTTAACGAAAAGTCATTTGTTCAGTTTTATAAAGTACGTGAAAGATTAGTTGACTGCGCTTGAAAATTCTGTAGAGCATGCGCAGTGTGCGTTGCGCGTTTCTACCCAAGGTATTTACCTTGCCAGCTGATCGTCTGTTTCCATTTGTGTTAATTTCAGATGTGAATATACTATTATCTTATGAAAAACAAATAGTGTTAATATACAGTACGAAAACCTACCACGTCAGTCATATCCCATGAGTGGGAGTGAGACAGACTTATGCGATTCCCATACTTTCCTATGACTGACGGATAGCTTTTCTTACTGTATATTTGTCTTCAAGAATTGACTTTCAAAAAAATATTTTTTGTTTTGTGTTTCTCACAAAACAGAATGTTATGTAAGTCTCAGTTTTCAGTGAAATAGCATGTCTCAGAAGTCGTGAAAAATTTCACCATGTGGTTTATAAGAATACGTACTTTTAAGTGTGAAGTGTGTGTTTATATTTAAGTTATACGCGAATATATGTGTGTGTTATAGGTTAGTTCATAAGTGTTGACGAACGTCAAAAAGTGATACAATAATTGTTCTTTGTTTGTGTGATTAATTATCCAAATATGTTAATGAATGAGTGAATTTCAGAAAAACTGTGTGAACAAGTGGAAATTATTTTTTTTATTTTACAGTTTTTTTGAAAGTCAATGAAATTCTCAAGCAAGGTACTAGAAATTTTCATTGACTGCTTTTGAAACTCTCATGCAAAAGTACTAGACTGTTTTTAGTATTTTGTGTCGTATCCAAAAGTCAAGTACCGAGTCAATGAAAATTTCACGTATTTTTTTTTCCGTGTAGCTAGTTCTTACGAACAATAGAAAAAATTGAGCTGATGTATGTAAAATATCTTACTAGGAGGAGGGGGGGGAAGGTTAAATTTTCAAAAAATATTTTACGTAATTTATGGACGGCCCCATTGACAAAGTTGTATCAACTACACCTGTGACTTATAAGATCAATAATTACTATAGGACCAACCAATAAGTAAAATATCCTGGTACATATCTTGTAGAAAAAGTTGTCAAGTCTCGTGGAAATAAAATTTTGATTAAGTGGTTAGACTTATCAAATTATCAAACTGTTATAATCAAAACAGTTGGATAGATAAGACAAATTATTAATGAATCAACTAACAATTATTGTTGACTATTGAAAACTACTTAAATTGTATTATAATATATATTTTATAAGAATTTTATAGAGAGAAACTTCTTAAAGTAAAATATTCTGATACATACATACATTCTATAGCAATAGTTCTTAAGACTCGTGGTATTAAAATATTTGTCAAGTAGTTAGGCTTTGATAATTCTCATAATAGTTGAATATATAAGACAAATCAATAATGAATTAGTAATGTTTCATTATTTTATCAACAGTGAATCATTAATGAATCAACAATGAATCATAAATAAATCAAGTATGAATCAATAATGAATTAATGTTAACTACAAAAAAGACTAGTTAATTTGAATTATAGTGTATATTTTGTAAGAATGCTATAAAGAGGAACAGTTTAAAGTAATATATTCTGATGTACATATATCTTGTAGAAAAAGTTGTCAATTCTCGTGAGACTAAAATATTAATCAAGCGCTTAGGCTTTGAAAATTCTCGTATTAGTAGGATATTTGTATAAGACAAATCATTAATGAATCAATAATGAATTATTAATAAAATCATTAGTTAATCAATAACGAATCAACTATCAATCATAAATAAATCAACTTCAAAACATTAATAAATCAACAATGAATTAATGTTAAATATTAAAAAGCTACTTATAGTGAATTATAATGTATATATTTTATAAAAAATCTATAAAAAGGAACTTCTTAAAGTAAAATATCCTGATATAATTTATAATACAAATCAATAATGATCAATAATGATCATTAATGAATCAACTAACTAATTAAGCAAGCCAACGATTTGTCAAAAAAAAGGCAAAACGAGTCT